AAGCTGGATCATAAATATGATCACCTTCTTCAAACACACTTGGTTCAATTGTCTAGAAAGAGGTTATACTTTTTGTTTTAAAATGTGGAAAACCTTTCTAAACTCACTCTCAATCTTCTTGTTACTGGATAAAATAAAATTGATTTCATCATCATTCTATCATCTAATAAACTCATCATTTGTTCTAACTTTGATGCTTGTAATAAAACATTTTTTGCATCTGTTGTTGTACTGTATAGTTTTAATGCTGCTTCACCCCAAACAAAAGCTGATTTCATTGAATAACCATGTTTTTCATAGGTATACATACAAGCTAATGTATGTTGATTAGTTTTTGATAATGTTGGATTATAAATTGATAATAACATGGGAAAATGTTTCGAACATTCAATTGTTATTGATGATTGTTTTGAATCATAATGTGAAACAAATAATGATAGTATATCAACGAGTATCGAACAATTTAATGATGAAAGTTGTTCAAGAAAATTTTTATGTTTAAGAAAATTTGCAAATAATTTTGATAGATGTTTTTGATCAAATGATTCTTGTGATACAAAAAATAGAATTAAAGTTTTTAATAAACTAATTGAATTTATTGTAAATATTTTAAAATATTTTAATAGATGTTTAGTTAAATCATATAAATCAATTTCACTTTTTGTTTGTGTTAGAAGACGAGTAGTACATTGTTCAAAAGATAACATCCATTCATCAATATTCCTAATAAAATTAAACAAAAAGAAACTATAAATAATGAAATTACTCGAAGTACTCATACTCCAGTACGATTTTGTTGGTACTCGAGAGATCGATATTCGTATCTCGGGCGGCTTGGTACACGTACTCGTGGATATGATCTTGGAGTTTTTGATTATCTCTCATAAAAAGTTACTATATGATTTTGTGTTGCATGGATGACATGAATTCTCGACGTCTTTTTGTTTCGACTGTTGAAATACAGATTTTTTTTCCCTACCAACTATGGCAGAAACTCCTAATCACCCTCGATACAATAGTACTCGTACTCAAGAAAGTCCGTATTTGCCCAGCACTGGTTCGACTTCGATTCGTTACTAGGACAATAGTACAGAGAGTGACTTATCATATTAAATTCATTGTCTTAGAAAAGTTGTTTATTCTTGAATATGTACGAAAAATACAATCGAAATATATAAGAGTAGACAAGATGCTATCAAAGTCTCAAAATTGTATATTAGACATCGATGCGATTTGTATGACTGATAATTTCACTTTTACTCTAGTTTATTCAAAATTCTACTCAAGAGCTATATACAATGATCAGAACTGTTTGCTAAATTCTAGCAGAAGTAGAACTATAAATCAAACGAATCTTCCTACTGTCTTATTTTGTAAAAAGTCCAGTGATGATTTTTCTCAAACATTTTCTATTGTTCCATTAAAGAAAATAGAGGTGTAAGCCGGTAGGGTAATCGGCGGCGGCGCAGATTCAATATCCCAGGGTTGCATAGCGGTGACGACTCGAAAACTTCGAATACCATAGGCGGTGCAGCGGCTGTAACCAAAGCGCCTCAGCGGCGGCTTACAAGTTTTTAAAACTTCTGGTGTCGCGGCGGGTGCTCATCTGCACAGCTTACACCTCTAGTCTCAAAGAGAAAATTTGGAGTTTTACTCTCAATACATATCTATTTATTTTACAGACAACTTACTGATTATTTTCATTGGATGATTCAAAAAACAAGATAGCTTTTTTAATAATTGCTTTATAAATTATTTCTGTTGTTGAAATCGAATCTGGAAATAATTTCAGAATAAGAAGTAATTGATTTGTTTGTTTTATAGGTAAATTCTCTTGTTTATTTTCATTTTCAAGTAATTTTAAAATTTTTTCATGTTGGTCTAAATTTTGTTTACAATAAATTTGAAGTAAATCGAAAACAATTGATTCTGATGAATGATTTTCAATAAGTTTATGAAGATAATCAAGAAATAATTCATTATCAATTGTTTCTTCAGCATTTAATAAATCATGAAAAACATATGCAAGAAAAAGAAGTGAATGATGAGATTTGTTTAGTAAACGATTGATTACATCATGACGATCATTCGATCGAAATGCGGTTATTGTTCTAAATAAAAAATATTATATAAAATAAGAAATCATTTTCTTCATACCGAACGATTAATTTTGCAACAAGAATTCGTGTTTGTATTTCAGAATATTCTTTCGTGGCTAATTTCAAAATAATTTTTTGCTTTAATCGTAAAATATTTTTCCAATTTTTATTTGATATTTTTTTCATTCTTTCAACTAATATCATAATACATTCAATTCCATCTTCAAGATTTTCATTGTAAACTTTTAAACCATCAATAATTGCATCTAAAAATTTCTCATCATTTATATTTTCATTAATTTTTATTTCTTTAATCATAATCTTTAGAATATCAACATTGTCAGTTACAGTTTGACAAATAATGTTAAGAAATTCTGTTCGATATTCCAAAGATAAATAATTCGATGTAAA